ATTTATTTACAAAACACTTCTAGGAACCTAATTACACATTTAATTGGCTCATTCTGTACATTGTGCAATTGCAAATTCGTAAAGGGGATTAAGCACTGCATTTGTTAGGACTTTTTTCTTTGGAACTATTCACTATTCTGAAATTTCTCGAGCTATTCTTAAAACCTTTTTTTTAAAGTTTTTCTTTTTCTCGGAAATATTATCTTCATGACTATCTATTTTCTTTCTGCTATCTTATTTTCTAAGACTTTATACTGGCTTTTTTTGTGCAAAACTTAAGTAAGGCATGGTAAAAAGAGGTTTAGGGGGGATTGTATCAGGATCAAAATAACTTTGGAAATATATAGCATGTATAATGAATACATGCTTAAATCATTCAAATTTCTTTCGAAATTGAAATTAAAAAACTGAGAAATGTGCTCTCTATTTTGTTAACCCTATAAAGGCTGGGGGGTCAGAATCTATGTATAGCAAAGAGAATAGAATATATATAGAATGGAATTTAGAGACTCTCTCGGTATGAATTGTTTCAGTCCCTTTCAGCTTGAAAGGGATTTAAAAGTGTACAAATCATGTAAATATTCACAAATTATATGCAGTAGAGTACATTAATACAGTATGTTCCCTAGACTATCCATTTCAATTTCGATTTTTTAAAGCTGTTAAATAAACTTTATGAAATGAACTAGATGAATAAAAAACATGATTTGATTTATAGTTATACCGAAAAATCATCGTTTGTAAAGTGAACGGCTTGAAAAGAGCCTATTTCATAATTTGGCTTTCTTTTAATATTAATTTTAGATTTTCTATAAAATTATGTTCCAAAGCCCAAAAGGTTATATTGCACAAATATGTGAAGTACACCTACAGTATGGAAACAGTACAACAAAATGGTCGTTTTACACTTTTTTCTAGTAAATTCCACTCTAATATATATTCTATTCTCTTTGATGTATAGCCAGGAGGCGGGCGTTTGGCGCGCCCCCCCCCCCCTAGAAAAAGGCCTTAAAGAAAAGGTGATAGGGTTGAAATGCATCTTTATAGCTCAATTTTTCATGGCGAGCTGAAAGAAAAAAAATAGACCGAAAACTTTAATATTTTGAGTGCTAGGGAGAGTGGAAAGAAATGGTTTTAAACAAATATCAAAGTGTGACACATCATGTTTCTACATGCATTTTTTCAAAATCTCTTTAAAAATATAGTTTTTAGATCTGTAGCTTTAGTCAGAACAAATTTATGGGCAATTTTATTTTTTTTTCTCGGACCGGACTTTTTTCCGCCCTGTACCCTACCCAATAAATTGAAAAAAAATTAGAAAAAATCCTTTAAATTACTATTCATTAAAAGTTACACAATTTCACTGTGATTATGGCAAAAATAAAATTACTATGACAAAAAAACTACAGAGGGGGGCGCCAAACGCCCCTCCCCCAGCCTGTTAAGGGTTAAACTCACGAAAAAAGAGGATATTTGCGCATTTTCAGGGATTCTAGCTTGTGCAACAAGCTTGCCATCTTTTTTTCAAACTGAAAAATAATTTTGGATACTTGAATTGGCATCTAGGGATATGTCAAGAAATCCAACATTTTTCATATTTTCCTTAATTTTCACAAATAAGAATATATTTTTTCCATCTAGATCATAAAGTCTCCTAAAAAAAATGTGGGATGGGAGAAATATTAACCCCCAACCCATATATCTAGGAATTGAGTTTTGATTAGTTGTACATAATAATAATAGTTTAAAACCTTTGAAATTTCCCTGTAATCTTTTTAAGTCGCCACTCTGGGGGGGGGGGGGAATTTCATTTTATATGTGTAGAAAACAATGCAAAAACAGTTTGTGTTTAAGTAAAATGCATGTGTGAAAAGGAGATGCAAAAGTTAACATTTTATCTAAAATATTTTAAATTTGACAAAAAGTTTAAAATATTTGCAAAGACCTCTTTCTTTTTGTTCTTTTCTCCAGGACTGATTTATTTCCTTGTCCTTGCCACTGTCCACATTTTGCTGAAATATTAAAAAAAAATATATATTTTACATCATTCTGCTACACTGTATTGTAATTAACTGCGCTTATATTTATGCAATACTTTTCCTTAATTATTCAACACTTTTCCTTGATTATTCAACACTTTTCCTTAATTATTCAACACTTTTCTTGATTATTCAACACTTTTCCTTAATTATTCAACACTTTTCTTGATTATTCAACACTTTTTCTTAATTATTCAACACTTTTCCTTGATTATTCAACACTTTCTTAATTTTTCAACACTTCCTGGATTATTCAACACTTTTCGTGAATTATCAACACTTTTCCTTGATTATTCAACACTTTTCCTTGATTATTCAACACTTTTCCTTAATTAATCAACCTTTCCTTAATTATTCATCACTTTTCTTAATTGTGAAACACTTTTTCTTTACGTTCTAAAACATAGTTAGTCATTGCTAAAATAGAAATGTTTCTAAAATTGTGTTTTTAAATATTATCTTGCAATATGAAACAATAACTCTAATGTATACAACACTTTTCTTCCTTAACCCTTAATAATAATATCATGTCAATAATTTTTCTTTTCAATTTAATCTTAATAATCAAACTGAACTAGGCAAAAGGAGAAGGTCGAATTCGTGAGACATCTTTGTGACCTCATAGTATTTGAACGATGAATAAAATTGCAAATATTTACTTTAGTTTGTATGTTTTATTATACTTTAATTTTACTTTTATTATCAAGCTTAAGATTACAATCAGTTACTTTACTAGGAATGTAAGCTGTGGACTCAAAAATGCGTAAATATTCTCGAATTTCAAGGAAAAAGAAGGAAAAGAAATCTAAAACTGTAGACAGTACAAATTGCAGAAATTCAATTTTACGCTTTTTCTTCTTAATGAAATAAAAAGAAAATTGGAAGGCAACTGTAAACTTTAAACTGTAAACTTTCAACTGTAAACTTTCAACTGTAAACTTTCAACGGTCAACTGTCAACTATCAACTGTCAACTGTCAACTGTCAACTGTCAACTGTCAACTGTCAACTGTCAACTGTCAACTGTCAACTGTCAACTGTCAACCGTTAACCGTTAACCGTTAACCGTTAACCATTAACCGTTAACCGTAAACTGTTAGCTGTTAGCTGTTAACTGTAAACTGTAAGCTGTAAAGAAAAAACACTCCAATATAAACAAAGTAGTAACTATAAAATTGATAACACATTGAAAGCCAAGCTAATTTTTACGTGCACGAGAAGCTAATATTCTTAGACCAAGAAATAAGTATAAAGTAGCAAAATAACAAGCAGGGTAACATTACATCCACGTAGATAACAAGAAGCAAAATAATAAATAGAAAGATAAGAAGTAGCAGGATAACAAGGAGCAAGATCAGAAATTGGCAGATAACAAGTTGCAAGATCAGAATTGGAAGATAACAAGTTTCAAGATAACAAGGAGAAAGATAACAAAATGCAAGTTAACAAACTGCAAGAAAACAAGAAGGAAGATCACAAGGAGCAGGATTATAAGCATCAAGATAACGAAGAGCAGAATAACAAGGAGAAAACCAACATAAAGCAAGATAACAAAGAGCAAGATAACAAGTAGCAGAATAACAAGTAGCAAGATAACAAGTAATAAAATAAAAGAAGCAAGATAACAAAGAGAAAAAATAAAACGTTGCAAGATAACAAGTTGCAAGATAACAATTTACAAAATAACAAGGAGCAGTAAAATAAGCATCAAGATAACAAATAGCTAAATAACGAGTACCAAATTAAAATGCATCAGTTCAAAAAGGAGCAAGATAACAATTAAATCAAAATATAAGTAGCAACATAACTAAAAATACTCCGTTAAGGGTTAAGCAAAGTAGCAAGCTAGAAAGTTTTTACTTTGTAAAGATCTCAAGGTTGCTGTTAGAGTAGGGATACCTTTTTGTATCTTTCGTCCTTTGTCTTTAAATACTGAATCTCAAGGTTGCTGTTAGAGTAGGGATACCTTTTTGTATCTTTCGTCCTTTGTCTTTAAATACTCAATCTCAAATGTTCAGACAATTCAAATTCCTGAATTAGAATGAGCTGAGTCTGGGAATTTTTCTAAAACTCAAACGAAGATTATTTTCTTGTGAAATGTTGACAAAAATCTGAAAAAAATTTAAATTATTTTTATTTAAGATTGTATCGATTAAATTTTTACTTTCACTGCGCACGCATGAATAATCAGACTTGAAAAATAATCATTTAACTTACAAAACTATATCTTAAATGAAAACATACTTGAGCAACAAATGTCAATAATTCTTATATAAATTTTTGTCTTGTCAACAAAGACTTATTTGCTGACATGCCCAAAAAAAAATGTTGCTGTTTTTTCTTCTTAAATTTAGATTACATCTAATGCAGGAGAGGAGGAACTTAACAAAAACACTTTGCTTTCTTTTTCTGTCAAATTTGTTTAGTTCAAAGTGATTATAAATAAGTAATAAAAGAGTGCTAAACAAAAAACATTTTCCTGAAATTAAATCTTTAGAATGAAATTTACTATTTAGATGGTTATCTACAACTGGAAACTTGAATTTTAAATATTTTAATTGTCTGCAGCAATTAAGCCCACACTTTATTTTACTATAAGAAAGATGGAGAGCAGAAGGGTTGGAAGGGTTTGTCTCAAACTCTGTTTTTCTATTTCCGTTATCTTTACAGCTTGTTGTTGTAGACTTTTGATATATCAAACTATGATTTCAAATAGTTTAAGTTTGAATTATCAAATGTTTCTACTGTCAGGTAGAAAAACAAAACGGGATGACACAAATTTGAGTTGTTGGCAAAATCTCTTTTTTCTTTTGGGATTTTTAGTAAACCCCCCCCTATCAACTTTTTGTTTAAAACAAGAATTTAGTATTGATGCAGGTGCACTCTACAAACTGTTCAGGCAAAAGTTATTTTCACAGAAATGTCGATTTTTAAATATTTGATCTTTTTTGCAGAGTAAAAGATGGTGGAATTTGAAGAGGGGGGACACCATGATGAGGATGGTGGACACCATGATGAGGATGGGGGACACCATGATGAGGATGGGGGACACCATGATGAGGATGGGGGACACCATGATGAGGATGGGGGACACCATGATGAGGATGGGGGACACCAGGATGAGGATGGGGGACACCAGGATGAGGATGGGGGACACCAGGATGAGGATGGGGGACACAAGGATGAGGATGGGGGACACCATGATGAGGATGGGGGACACCATGATGAGGATGGGGGACACCATGATGAGGATGGGGGACACCATGATGAGGATGGGGGACACCATGATGAGGATGGGGGACACCATGATGAGGATGGGGGACACAAGGATGAGGATGGGAGACACCAGGATAAGGATGGGGGACGCAAGGATGAGGGTTGGGGACACCATGATGAGAATGGGGGACACCAAGATGAGGATGGGGGACACCAGGATGAGCATGGGGGACACCAGGATGAGGATGGGGAAAAATTAGAACTTGAAGAACGGGGGGAAAATGAAGAAGACAACTATGAAAGAGTAAGAAGAATGGAATTGCTTTTAAAGATAAAGAAGAGAAAGATGCTTGGAAATAAAGCTCGGAAAGCAAAGGAAAATATGACTCCAAAACTACTAGACACAGATATAATTATAAAAGAAAATACAAATATTAAACAGATGGAAAAAGAAACGGAGGAAAGCATACCGAATAATGAAGAACCAGGAAAAGAAAAGAAAGAGGATGAGAACGAAAAAGGAAAGAAAGTAGAAAATATATTAATGGATGAAGGGAAAGAGATAAACCATTCAATCAAGGGAAACAACTTATAAAATAAAAAAGAAGAAAGGGACTAACAACATCATTTCAATTGACCCTCAATATAAACTGTCAACTAATCCTTTAATTAATTCACAATTAGAAAGGTATCGTTGTTTTTTCAACTAAAGTATTAAATGTTCAGAAAGGAATTGCACACATTCAACAAGTGTTACATGAAATTACGTTTACATATCCTTTATTAACAGAAAAATGTTTCAGAAATATCAACTTTTGAAATTAAGTTGTGTAAATTTAGTTTAACAGTTTTTCATTCAAGAACAGGGAGAAAATAAGGAATAAGAGAGAAATTAAGAAAATCAAGGAATCAGAAACGTAAGTATAAAATGATATTTTTCATTATTTTAAATCATAAACAAGTTTTTGTTTTCTATGCTCCCAAATTGGCATCTTTTGCAAAAATTAAAAAGTTTTTTTATTTATTTATTTTATTTGTTTGCTCTACCCTCTACACTCTGAATTCTACACTTTACACTCTACACTCTACACTCTACACTCTACACTCTACACTCTACACTCTACACTCTACACTCTACACTCTACACTCTACACTCTACACTCCACACTCCACACTCCACACTCCACACACCACACTCCACACTCCAAACTACCTCTTTTTTTATAACTGTAAAATTTACGTTTGGAGAAAGAAGTCGATTTTTTTTTTATTTCCTTATCTTTACAATCTAAATCCCTATATCTTATCAACCTTATGATGTATACCTTTGATATTTCTTAGATTATTTGATAATTCAAAATCAATAGTTTAAAGTATTAAAGGTTACAGCAAAAGTAAAAGAATTTGAAAATATGATTTTGAGACATAGACTTAATTTTGTTTGCCCATTTTTTCAAATATCAAAATTTAAAAACGAGTTTTTTTACATTTTCAACACAACTTAATATCTCTAGTGTTAATGAAGATACTGAACTGCTATGCAGCTCTGCAGGAACTTTGGAAACCTTACAATGCTTCTACTGCGGTGTGCATGTACCTCCTAGGAATACAATCAATCAATCAATCAATGCATTAATTAATTAATTAATTAATAATCAACTAATCAAACATTAATTTATCAATTAATCTAAAAATTAGTGAATTAATGTATCACCTAATAAATCAATCAATTTTTAATCAATTTATCAATCAATTCATCAATTAATTAATCAATCATTTAATTAACCAATTAACCAATTAAATCGTCAATTAATTCATTAATCAATTAAGCAATAAATTCATTAACAACTATGTAATCTATTACTTTGTTAACTTATATCTAAGTTTAAACTAGTTAATTTGATTCTTCTATTGCAAAGTTCTGCTTGTACCTGGTGTAAGAATGTATATTTTTGCTCCAAGGAACAGATGCAAATTATTTAAAAAAGCGAATTATTGTTGTGTGATTTTACCATGAACTACAGACGCAATTTCATTGTCCATAGAAAGAGTTGACTAATGAAATCTTTTTGTGAGTAACTATGAGAATGTAATTGTCGTCTTTCTTTTTTATTAGTGTTTAATTCTAACAATTTTCATAAATTCTCTGCACCCAAAAATCCGCAACTCTTTGTGAAAGAGAAACCACAATATTTAAAAAAAATCAAATTATGATATCTTATTCATTTTTGATTGCAGACGAATGTTTAAAGGCCAATGTTATGTATAAAAGAAATATTCCACTCTATTTGTTTGAAGTGACAGCTCCCTTTAATTACCACAAAGATTATTCAATTGTGAATATCAATATTTATATATCAAAATTATTATTCCGAAAATTGCGGAAAAAATAAAGATGTCCGAGAGGCACAAATAAAAATGCGGAAAAGTTTTAAGTTTTTACCCCCCCCCCCCACACCTTCTTACATATCCCTGATTACTGCTTACTCTAAAATATAATATCATTTATATTAATATTTGTAGAAACCTTCAGACATATCTCTCATCACTTTGAATTTATCATTTAAATATCTATTTCTGACGTAAACAAATTTTTGTCAACTCGTTTCAAAATAATTTATTCCGTTTTTTTCGTTTTATAGAGTCAAAACGGTTAAAGTCTTTCATTTTTATATTTGCTCAATTTGTAAAGAATATAAGAAATTTTACCATACATACACTTTTTTCTGGATGAAAAAAGAAAATTTTTAAATAATGAAAAATTCTGTAAAAAAATGTAAATGAAATTTTGCAACAAAGAAAACTCTTTGAGTGTATTTCGTACTTTTCTTGTTTTAAAGCTTATAAGGTATGTGGGACGCTTAGTATTATCTCTTAGCTAGCTGGATTGTCGTGAAGCTAGCTGGATTGTCGTGAAAAAAAAAAAATTAGCCTATGTCAAACCTTAGGTTACCAATGGGTTCCCAGCCCAGTCATTAGGCCAACTATATAAATATAAATAATATTTAGCGAAGAGCTTTATTATATCAATTATTAAAATTTGCTCTGAAACAGGAACATGCAGAAATACATCGGCCCCAGGAATACTGTTTTCCATTTATAGTAAAGCGAGATCCTAAAGTCGGCAGGTTGGATTATATTTTGCATTTGACAGTTTTAAATACACCCTAGAGTCAACTCAATAAATGTATTTTTAAACAATAACAGTGCTGCTAACAGAGAAGAGGTAAAAATGGAAATCATATTTAACATAATACTAAAAGTGCAAAATAAAAATAAAAAGTTTACAATCCCTATAAATACTGGAGGCAGCTGAAGAGTTGATTGACATATTTACTAAGGATTGTGGAGTTTAAATAATCTGAGTATATTGTATATTGACAAGCCTAATTTATGTCTATCTTTTAACTGTCTCAAAGTGATGGAATACTTTTTTAAACATGTTAAAAACCTTTTAAAATTCTGAATTTTAGAATCGGGGTTGTTATAAATGATTAATGCTTTAGTTTGCTGNCTATTGGGGGGGGATTGCCCTTCAATCACTTTAATTTATTTCTTACAGCCATAATTTTTGACGCTTTCATCTTATACACGTCTCTAATTTTAATGAAAAGTATTTTAAAGGATTTGCTGTTCATCTTTGTTTTTGAGAGCATAGGGTTACAGCTGGTAGATTTAGATACAAAACATGACAATTGAAAACAACTTAAAGGTCGTCTTTGATTTTTTAAAAGTATGGTCTGCCTCTTTTGTGCGTTCAATATTATCAGAGACAACTTCAGTTTGAATGTTTAAATTGAACAAAATTCTAAATATATATATGGTTATATACACAGCAAAAAAACGCAGACCATATTTTGGATATCCGGCACTAGGAACATTTTGTTTTTGTTGTTTCAAGAATCTTACATATATATGTGAAAGGGGGTTAATGACTGAATGTCTCTGAGACGACTTTTAAATCATATTGTTACTGTCATGTTACCTGGGACACCTTGTATGTCTATGTTGTTTATATTTTTGTTTTTGTTATTTGAGAAAAATCAATAAATGTCTACAGTAGCTCTAATTAAAGGTTAATTTATTTCTGTGCTCGTTTAAAACAATAACAACCCCTCCTGAACTAAATTTGTTTATATATTTAAAGTATTCTATGACCTGAATGACCTTAATTTTACGAGACATAACACATTAGGAAAATAGGCAGAACAAGTTATCTTACACACAAAGAAAACAGCATACAGGCTCATCAAATATCTTCTTAAATGTCATTTAAAATTTTAACTACTGAAGCTCTGATTTTAATGCCATTTTATAGAAACGTGTTAAAGAAATTGTATTTTTAAGAAGTCGGGGTGAAGAAAAAACCTTTCAAGATGGCTTTCTAACAATATATTGTTCCTTGTAACTATTTTAAACTATAATTAAACTTAGAGTATCAGTAATCTTGAATGCTTATTATCTATAATCCTATAACCAAAGTGGGCATTTTTAAACTTGAGGATTCATGCCTGAGGCCGTTCTTCCATGAACAACATTGGTCGAAAACTTGACGTCTCCTATTTTGGTCGTTAAATATACGGAGAAATGTCTATTTCTCAGATAAGAATTTAGCATGAGACATCTAGCGGCCAACATATCGTCTCCCAAAGTACGTGAACTACACGAACGACCACTTTCTATGGAGAGAACGGGCTTTGATCTTTGCATAATTTAGACCACTAAACTCATCCGTTGATATTCATAAAGATGATTGATACAGAAAGTTTTTGGTCATCACTAAAGTCGTTTCCATGGCGGTAACCCTATTCTTGTGTTTAAAATGTCATGTTTTGATATTGTACGGTGGTAGGCGATTAAATTAATATTACGGAGACGACTTTTTCTTTTAGTTTTAGCTGTTACCAAGCATTTTTCGATATACAAGTTTACAAGTAATTACAGAGAAGCTTTTTTTATTGGTAGCTTCTCATAGTTTCCATGTTTCTGTGTATCCATGCTTAATATAAATAAAAATTAAAATCGAAAGTCATCTTCATTATATTAATATAATCGCCTACCACCGTATAGCAAGTAAACTATAATTTAGAGCTAATCGAACTATCTCCCCAAGGAAAATGTCATGTTCAGATACTGTATTGCAACTCGAAATATCTCCCCCCAGGAAAATGTCATGTTCAGATACTGTATTGCAACTCGAACTATCTCCCCCCAGGAAAATGTCATGTTCAGATACTGTATTGCAACTCGAACTATCTCCCCCAGGAAAATGTCATGTTCAGATACTGTAATGCAACTCGAACTATCTCCCCCCAGGAAAATGTCATGTTCAGATACTGTATTGCAACTCGAACTATCTCCCCCCAGGAAAATGTCATATTCAGATACTGTATTGCAACTCGAACTATCTCCCCCAGGAAAATGTCATGTTCAGATACTGTATTGCAACTCGAACTTTCTCCCCCCAGGAAAATGTCATGTTCAGATACTGTATTGCAAGTCGAACTATCTCCCCCTGAAAATGTCATGTTCAGATACTGTATTGCAAGTCGAAGTATCTCCCCCTGCGAATTAATCCTTAGGGAGGATGCAGCAGCTGCAGGCCCTTACGCCAAGAGTAAACCAGTTTGTCTTCAGTGCTTCAAAAAGGTTAGTTTCTAGAAAACATAATTTTTGCCATAAACGATTATGAAAAAATCTCCCTCCACAACTGATTGGGTTTGATCAGGCCTTCTCAGGCATGGTTGACAGCAAGCGTTCGCTTTTGGTTCGGTTTAGGGTGCCGCCTGCTGACTGCAAAGCTCTGCGTATAGGGCAGTTCAGCGAACTGTAAATTAAAGGTTGCAAGCTTTTAAGCACAAATCGATGAGAATTTTGCCAATTACCTCTTAAAAACCAAAGCTAAAATCAAATAAATTATAGTTCTAAAATGTTCATGTTAAGGGCTACAGAAAAGCATTCGTGAGTTAGAGAGCGGTAAAATCAGAGCCCAAGGCGTTGCGACAGTTCATAGTCGACCTTGTCTTAAAAATGATGGAACTTTTAATCAGCATGGGCTGAATCTATGTGAGCGGGCCAAGCGCTTTGAACATTCAAGAAGGCCGAGCGTTGCAACAAGAGCAAGCTAGGATAGCTTTACACAAAGATGGAAGGCCTATAGTAAAAATGGCACAAAGCGAAAATGATACACAACAAAAAAATTAACATATTGCAAAAATAATGCAAGAAACCAATTCGAAGTTCACTTTAAGACATGGTTATGAGCAATGTCGAAGCGTTCTATATAATAATAAAAATTAAAAGTAATTAATAAATTGAATTCTAGATTGATGGGAGTTATGTATGCCCGCGATGCAAGTATCCAGTGTGTAATCTAGACTGCTCTAAAGGAAACCTGCATGAACAGGTTTCATAAAAATCTAAATAAAAATTTTTAAATTTTATGGTTTGATATTTTTTTTTATAATGTCGGCATCTCGATAAAGGGAGTGTTTGTGAATAAAGGAATACAGGGGGGGGGACTTTTATCATCTGAGCATATCGGGGAATTTTTTTTACAGTCACCAAAGTCTGAAAGTTGCCGGTACAGCACGTACTGTACATGCAACCCGTTGTACCGTCCTATCAGACTACCCAGTGTAGAGTCGACCTAGCATGTTTTATACAACACAACCTGGCAAAATCACAGTTTTTACAACAAAAAAAAACAGTTTCGGAAAAACTTAACTTATGTTTATCCTACAAATAACTTGTAAATTAAAAAATTAGCATAATTTTTGAACAATAAAAACTTATTGTTCACAACCAACGTTATTTCAAATTTTTACTCTAAAATTTAACAATTCCTGTGATTAATTAATATTGTTAATTCCTGTGATTAATTAATATTGTTAATTGCCTTTATTTGTTGCTTTTCAAATTGTATGTCAACTTTTTCAAAAAGTAAACAAAAGAAAATTTAAAATATTTAAGAATTGAATAGATTTTAAAATTTAGTGTGTTACGCTTAGTTTATCCCGAATTATATACAGGGTTACGCACAAAGAATGACGACCTATAGAAATTTTAAAAAGATGATCAACTGTTTGTTGCATTTAAAGATATTCTTTAAATGATAAATTTAAAGATTTCATTTCTTATCCAGATAATTGCTACAGGACAAGAATCGAATTAAATCCGAACATGTGTCTCATCAGTTTTGTTTTACCCTGTATGTATTCTAAATCTAAGAGTAAATGAGCTGAAAAGTGCAAAATCTCTAAATATTCAAATTGTGAAGTGTAAAAATTCTGTTTTTGTTTTAGGAGTGCAATTTCTTTGTTGAAAAGAATTATCAATGTTCTATTAAATGTTTCAATAAACCAAATAGTAACTATGCCTGCATAACTCCACTAAGGTTAGTATGTTTTTAGAATTGAGTGTTAAAGGGACTGTCTGCGTAAATTGAAGTGATTAATAAAAAAGGTGCAAACAGATTCACAGCGTTATCCGTTGCAACTTTAATCTTTTTCTACGCAAATATGAAGAAAATATGATAATTTTTTAAACATCCTAAAATATTTTTGACTTTATTTGTTGTCTTTGCTGCCTAAATCCGCTAGCAATTGAAAATAATTGAAAATAATTTTAAATCGGTTCTGCTCCTCACTAAATGAAGTGTAAATTGCAGCTTTGTCTACAGTTCTTTTAAAACAAAGATAAGATGATATTTCACTCAAAAGATCAGGCGAAAAAAAATGTGTGAGGATTTTCTTTTAAAAATCAAATCTGTCGTTATATTTTGCTCTTTTTTAATATAAATAAAAATTAAAATCGAAAGTCGTCTT